CAGAATCTTGTCCTAGGCCTGCCCCCTGATATTTTGCTATAACCACCCTTAAGGTGTAGTCAGTACTGTGGGTGTTGCTGTCTATTCTGGTGAGTGATCTATTTAAAAACAAAACAGTGAGAAATGCCTTGGTGATTTCATTGAGACTTGTTAAATCCATGAGTCTGGAGGGCAGCTGTGGGGGCTTACTTGCTTCTGGCTTGGATGGACCCTGGCATATTGAGCTTTGTATTACAGAACCACTGGCCTGGGCCAGTATAGTGCTCCTTCTTGGCTACTCATTAGACTTGCCTGGGACTCCTCCCGACATTGACATTTCACTGGTCTGTTGTGCTACTGAAGTTTCAAAAGCTCCCTGTGGGCTGAGAGGTATAAAGCAGTTACTTAGCTTGCCCAAGGGCCTGGGTTCGATCCCTGGCAGTGGGAATGGGAGCTGCCCAGATGATTCTAATGTGCAGCCAGTGTGGGGATCACTGCCTAGGTGCTCCTTAGTAGTCTTTGACAGCTAGTTCTCTTGACATCCAACACCTTTCTTGATTTCCCAAGTGTGGTGCTCAATTTAATTTATAGTGGGCCAGGAGGGCTCAGGTGGTGAAGTGAACACCCACTTCTCAGAGTAATTGTGGAGGGAGATGCTGTGATCTGTCCAGATTCCTCTCTATACCAAACACAAAATGTGCAAAAGTAAGCGAAACAAATTTTCAGTCTGGTCTCTGAAATCTCCTTCCCTTTGCCTGTGATTGAGTGGAGAGTTCTCAACTTCACTAGCTGCAGCAGAGCACTTGAATGTATTAAAAGAGCCAAGCTGCCTAGGGTAAAACAAATAGGTGGCATTGTTAAAGTGCATGGGGAAAGGAAGCATCCTGCCTGAGATAACTGTGATACTTTGATGATTATCTCACCTGTCTTCTAAGTGGGATTCTAAGTGATACACTTTTCCTTGTGAATGAAATTTACTTGCAAAGGCTTAAATATTTCTGGATATTATGAAATGTGAAAAGAGTCCTTTTAGCATCTTGGTCCAACATAAGGTTCCATTATCTCCATTCTCACCCAGAAAAGAACTTATAATGCCCGAAGTTTGTCGCCTGCCTATAGTATCTCGTGTAGTAGTAGGGAATAGGAAGTTGTTTTACTACCCATAAAAAATAGTGAGAACCACTGTTCAGACTAGCTACCAAGTGACTTCTGACTCATGAAAGAAATGTGTATTTAAGAGCAAGTTCAAGCCGGGCATGGTGGTGCACGCCTGTAATCCCAGCACTCGGGAGGCTGAGGCAGGAGGATCACTGTGAGTTCATGAGACCAGCCTGGGCTACAAAGTGAGTTCCAGGTCAGTCTCAACTACATAGTGAGACCCTGTCTCAAAAAAACCAAAAAACAAACAATAAAAGAGCAAGTTCAAATGTAGCAGTCTTTTTGGAGAGTATTCTAGACCCTATAGAAAATTTCATTTGTATATGATCTATAAGTAATTGATCATTTGAAATCTGAAGAGGTGGTATGTGCAAAAAGAGAAGGTAGATTGAAGAAAAGCTTGGTTCTTAGTGGAGAACTGTGTTAAAATCAGACTATCGAATTGTTTTCAAGTAGCATTAGGCCTTGCTTTTTGCGTAACATGTAATGCTGCAGTGTCAGAGGAAATGCCTCCTATGCCTTAGAAACTCTGCTGAAGGCTTCCTGTCTGCGGATGGAATAGAGAAGCAATAGCCTTCCGGACTCCAAAGAGAGTACCCTGGGGATTTACATACAGAAGAATCTTGTAGAGTACTGTGAACCTCGTTGGACTTTATGGAATTATACTGCACTGGATTTTAAGATTTCATGGGGGAGAGGAGCGGGGGAAGATAGGGAAGTGAGGCCAAAAAGGTAAATATATGAACATGTGCTATCGCTTAAGAAGGAATAAAACAAATTCCTAAACTGAGTTCCCTATCAGGACTGTGAAGTTAAGTCAGTATCCTCTACCTTAATGGGTTCATTTCCTGATTCCTTTTAGGCCTCTAAAAAATCCTTTCTGAAACAGCTAGATAAATGATAGCCTGACTGCAGTTTACTACCTTGCCCCATCCCCTGCCCTCAAAAAAAGAAAAGCATTCCCAAAGTATAGGGAAAAGGAATGTGTTCTATCTTGGCCCATTAGTCTTTCATCTGCTGTGATCTGTGTTCACATTTTTAGCCTGTTGCATTATTTTTGTGCTCTGATTGCAGAAATTAAATGGATTTTCTAGTTTAGTCAAGAACCAATGGCTTTCTTCTCTTTTAAGAAATCTTAAAATCAGTACAAAGAAGTACATTGGAAGAGAATTCAGGTTTCCTGGTTCCTCATAATTTCAGAGCTCATTCGTGTTCTGCCTCCAAGAGGTGAAGAGAAGGCTGAGGATTCAGAGATAGAAAAGTAGCAGAAAATTGGTTTCCTTCAGCTGGACACAGTCTGAAAGAAATCTATCCAACTGTTCTCTATGGTGCTTATGTGATGGGTGACCGCTGTCTCCCATCCACCTGTCCCTGGCACTGTGCCTTCCCCCTGGTCACTGTGAAATGCAGATCACACTGGACTCAGGCCAGAATCCAGGACAAGTTGCCCATTCTCATTTGAGCCCATCACTTCTTCCTACAGCTGAAAATGTAGCATTTACTTCTCTTTGAGAAGCTTGGGGTCCCCCCCTCCGCCAAGAAGCAGTAAACTGTTTAAAAAAGACTCTGGTGGTAGCTGTCAAAACAGAGATCATAAGAAGATTACACCCGCCTCAGTTGATACTGATAATAGCAAGAGTCAACGGTGCCCACCTCTTCCTGAGTTTCTTAGGGCTCCTGTAGTACTTGTAGACAAATGTACCTAACAACAGTTTTTCACAAGTTGCTAATCAAGGAGGATTCATATTAAAACAGACAATCAGTTTCTAAAGTGTAATCCCTGAAAGGGAAAGGGATAGAGTATTTTTAACTATAATTAACCTACCAGTCTGTTTTTACCCTTTGGAAAAAAAATTCTAGAACATTTTAAATTTGTGTGTTTTGTGTGCAGCAATTACTCCATTAATATAAAGATGAAAAGTCAGTGAGCCAGGATAGCACTCTTATACCACTGGCTTTATGATGCATCTTATTTCCTAAGATGATCTGTTTTTGTGACCTTAATTATAAATACCTATATATATATAGAGAGAGAGAGAGAATAGGAGTTTCTCTCACCCCGCCCTTCTTTAGTCATTATCACTTAAATGTAAACCACCACCTCCTCCCTCCCCCTTTACTGAAAATAATGCACTTTAATTCCTAAGGAGAGTGGCTGTTCCTGGCCCTGAAGCCAGAGTACTTCAGGAGGAGAGTTGTGGAGGAAGAACTCTTGTCAGACCTGTAACGTTAACGAAATTTCCTAAGGTATAAAAACAAATAACATCCATTTTTAAACTGCCCCCACCTTCTCCCTCCCAAAGAGAAAAAGAACAGCCAAATTGAAAAGACTTCAAACGGCCAACCCTGATTTTGGAAATTACACTGGTCTAAAAAACTTTTTTATTTTAATTTTAAAGTTGTCTTTTTTTTTTTTTTTTTTTTTTTTTTTTTTTTTTTT